CTACTGGCTCACCAGCTGCCACAGGGGGCGCTGATGCTGCTTTGGCACACTGAGCCATGGGCATTTCACCTGTGCCCAAGGCTGGATCCTGGCTCAAGGGAGGGATTTTGCACTGTCTCTGGGATTTGCTTTRCCCTCTAAGGAGCTTCCCAGCAAGGCTGGTTTGGGAGGGCAAGGAGGGCCAAGTGGGGCAAGGAGGGCCCTGTTCCCCTGGGGCTCCTGCCACATTTGTGTCCCCACAGATGGCCATGCTGCTCAAGCTCCAGGAAGCCGCCAACTACATTGAGTCTCCRGACCGTGAGACCATGGTGGACCCCGACCTGCAATCGACTCTGTGAGGCCCGGACGTGCCAGCCCAGGTGGAGGGGAGCTGCTGCTGGGGTGCTCTCCTTTTCCTTCGGCATCCAGGAGTGCGGGGCTGGCGAGCGAGCAGAGAGAGGAGCAGGGCTCTGGCGTGTCCTGGTGGAGCTTGGGGAAACTCGGCTCATCTGTGAAAGAGCACGAGTTCTCAACTCCCCTCCCGACCCTGGGGGTAGGAGAATCCTGGTTTCTCTTGGTTTTTTTCTGTCTCTATTACAAACTCTCGGGCTTTGGGACCAGGGCGACCGCTGTGGCTGAGCCCCCGCTCCTGGGAGCCGCAGGAAGGCCCCTGCGTGGGGCGGGGACCCCGCAGGAGCCATCTGGGCTGAACTGGGGGCACAGGAKGAGCCCAGGCTGCAGGACGAGTGTACAGGCACAAGGGGCTTGGGCTCACTCTGCGCCCGCTGCGCAAAGCTGAGAGAGCCGCCGCTCTGGAGCTCCTGCCTCATGCCGRCCAAGGGGAGCGTGGCTCTCACCGCTCTGTGTGTTCCGTGTTCCACCTGCACGGCAACTGCTGTGACCAGGACAGCCCAAAACCCCTGCTTTGATTATTTTATTTTGTTTCCCCCCTCCCCTTTTCCTTTGGCTGAGTCCAGACTTTGCTTTGGTCCCTTACTTTGTTCTGGTTCTTTACTCTCCTGGCCTGGGGCCCACGGCCTGGTGCCCACTGCTTCCCTGGCAGCAATGCCCTTCCCCTTTGGTTTCTTTTGCAGCTGTTGGTTTCACCACTCAAACCACCTCTGTCACAAACTGGTGCTCACTGGACGATCTCCAGTCCCTGAACCCACCTCCTGGGGCCGCACAGGTTGGCTGGGGTGGGACTKGGAGACCGGTGTGAAGGTGGGTGGCAGTGGGATGCTCCCAGAGCAGCCCCTGGTGTCATCTTCCACCTCCTCAAAGGCGCAGGGCATGGGGACGGTGTCTCCCACCAGGTTGGGGTGCCATGGGGATCCCCTCCCTGAGGTACTGGGGCATGGGGAGGCCGCTGCTGCTGCCCCATCCCTGGGCAGCCGGATGCCATCCCTGTCCCCTTGGTGGAGGAGAGCCCAACCAGSCTCCCATCCCCTCGGTGCTGCCAGGCCTGGGGCTGTGGGTCAATGAGCCTGGGGTTGCTCCCCATGCTGCCTGCTCCCCCTGGCCTCGTGCCTTCCTGCAGCCTGGCAGGGTCTGTGTTGGTGCTCTGGGGGCACCTGGGGCTGCCACGTGTCCTCCTGGTCTTAGCCCGCATTCTTAAAAGGCCAGACTCCTGCATGGAGAGGGTCAGCCCCGGTGCTGCCGTGGTGCCTTAATCCCTGGCCGTGTGGGAAGGGGGCACATGGGGCTTGGGATAATGCTGTCACAGCCTGCTCCAGTGTCCTCTGATTGTCCCCAAAGCCAGCTTGGCTGAGTTAAAATGAGGGTGCTGGCACTGTCCAAGCTGGTGCCTGCAGCACCCTTACTGGCCTGTCGCCAACCATGGCTGGTGGGGTGCCTTGCAGGTCAGCACCCCCATCCTGTGCCCAGCTGGGCTCTGGGGGCCCCCTCCCTGCTGCCCTCCAGCTCAGCCCCCACATTCAGCGGGGGCCCTGGAGAGACATCTGGGGAGAGGTGACCCCCGGGCCAGATGAMTGGAGCCCACCCTGTCCCTAAACTCTCCCCATCTTGGGACTGCGCGGCCTCAGCCCACTRGGGCTGGGGCTGGTGTGGCCTTCAGGGACGCCTCACACCCCTTTTGGAACGGGCATCTCCCATGGTGCCCTCGGAGGGCGCCGCCACCTCTGCCCTCGGTGCTCTCGGCCGGTGTGTCCCGCCTCGCCGCCCCATGGTGCTCACTTCTCCCACTTCTCTGTCCGACAGCCTCCCGCTGCCACCGGGGCCGGCCAGCCCGGCCCCTTCCCACGGGGATCTGCTGGGATCTCCTCCCCATGCTGGCTTGGGCGTTAGGGCTTTCTGTTTGCCTTCTCTTGTGTTGCTGCCGTCGAGGACTCGCTGTACATAGATCCGTCGTGGAACGCCCTGTGTGGGGTGTGGGGGGCCCGGCCCTGCGCCTTGTCCCTGGTTTTGGGTTTTTTTTGTACTCTGTGATGACTGTGCTGTGCTGACTTCTTTTCTGATTGTATGAGACTCCGGCCCAGCAGCCACTCGAGGCTGGCGGTGGGGACCCAGCTGTTGCCTCCAGCCCCTCACACCCTCCTCGGGACTTTGGTACCCAGGTTGGGAAGGGAATGATGCACCTTTGGGGACTGCCCTGTGCCCAGGTGCCCTGAGGAGTCCCATGGGACGAGGGGCAGCCTTGCCTGGGCTTGCTTTCTTTTCTGACACTCCAGGGAGCCACCTAAATGTAGACCAAACTGTAGCCGTGCCCCGCTGCTGAGCATCCCCCAGCCTGTGTCCTGCAGGTTTGCCCCGTCCCTCCCCAGATCGGGGCTGCCCCTCATCCCATCGCCTGAGCCCCGGCAGCTGGAGTGAGTGGCAGGTGGGGCTGTAATCCAGGAGGAATCTCTGAGGGAAGAAGGGCCATGCCAGCAGGTGGGTGCTGGGCTGGGCSTGATGGGGGCTTGGCTGGGATTACCTGGCTGGAGGGGTCAGGTCCTGCTGGATTCCTCCTGGCTTACACCGAGCACCTCATATCCCCGAGCCTGGCAGCTGTCTGGGGCCTGACCCCTGGCTGTGGGCTGAGCCCCTCTGTCCCCAGGGAAAGCATCCCTWTTTTTTAGGGTTTGCACTAACTCATCCTCCTGCCACCTCCAGGGGTGACCATCACTCCCAGAGGAGCTGGTCACCCCAGAGGGTGCCTTTTGTCCCCAAAGGTGCTGCCTGCTGCCCACAGTGGTGCCTGACATCCCGAAAGGAGCTGGCCACCCCCAAAGGTGCCTGTTGTCCRCAAAGGTGCCTGCTGCCCCCAAAGGTGCCCATCACCCCTCACGGCTACCTGCCACCTCCTGAGGTGCCAGTTGCCACCAAAGGTGCCCGTGGTCCCTGGGAGCCCCCCTGAGGGGCTGGAGGTGGCCGATGCCAGCGCCTCACCCTCTTGCCCCCTCGAGCTGCTGCTGTCCGGTGGCCTGAACCTTACAATTTTAGCTTTTTTCTATTAAACACAAACAACCTTTTTTTAATTAAATAAAAGATGAAATGGACAAATTCCTGTTTTAGATTATCTGTGTAATTGACTGGGTTTTGTGTTTCTTAACTGCATGGTATTCCTGCCGAGGGGTTTTATAGCACTTTTTAAATTTCTCTTTAAGATTTTGGTCCAGATTTCTACTGCTCTCGCCTGTCTGTTTTTGCTTTTTCCTYGCACCCTCCACGTTTGTAAACTCGCTCCATTTTATACCTGATGTTGAGACCCAGCCCCACATTGTACATAGCTGCGGGAACAATCATAGGGAACAAACAAACACCATCTGGACTCTTTCCACGATTAGTTGTTTTTACTTCAAAGAAATTTTAAAAGAAACAYAAAAGGAAGCCAGGAAAAGGCTTGAGGATATTCTGAAAAGACAGAAACAAATCCAGCCCTGCACCAAGTCAGCTCCTGCTGCCCACTTTGCCCGCACCAACTGGCATGTCTCTTCTCGGTCGTCTGTCTAACACCATTGGATTCAATAAAGTGATCTCCTGTACTGTCGGCTCCTGGTCCTGTGTCTGTGGCTCTGTTCCTGCACGGCAGAGGGGAGGGCAGCTGTACCACTACACATCATAGAATCACGGAATGGTTTGGGYSGGAAGGGACACCTTGCACTAGACCAGGCTGCTCCAAGCCCCTGGCCTTGGACATTTCCAGGGATGGGGCAGCCACAGTTTCTCAGGGTGACCTGTGCCAGGGCATCACCTCCCTCACAGCCAAGAATTCAGTGGCTTGTCCTGGCACTTCAGAGCCTTGTCTGAAGTACCTCTCCAGCTCTCCTGGAGTCCTTGTAGAAACTGGAAGGGGCTCTGAGTTCACCCCAGGGCCTTTTCGCCAGGCCCATCTCTCCTGTCTCCAGAGCAGCRGGGCTCCAGCCCTTGGGGCATCTTCCCCTGTCCTTGGTAGTTGTCTTCCTGCCAAATCTGGGAAAGGGGCCTTGGTAGAAACACTCCTGGGTTGGAACCTTGGCTGTTTTGCAGGATGTTGGAAGCAGCTTTAGGGATTGGGGACCCCTCTCCCAAGGTCATACTCCTGTAAAGTCTAGGGTGGGCAGAAATGCTCCTGGTTTGGGATCTTGGCTGTTCAGGACATGGAAAGGGGGAGGTCCCTTTYCTGGGGCAGGAGGGACAGGTCTTACCCGAGCTGGGTGGGGGGTGGGCATTCCCTCTGCCTCTTTTTTCCTCACCAGGTCTGATCTGATCTCCCATTTGAAATGACAATGTGGTGACAGATGCCACATCAGCACAGCGGGGCAGAGGTGGGATGGTGTTCCTCGTGCAGGGACAGTTGCTCTGCCTTGCAGCAGAGCACGGCAGGAGGCGAAGGGGGCAGGGAGAGCCCGGTCTTCCCGTGGCGTCTCCAAATCTGTTTTCCCCTCCGGAGTGCAATGCTGAAGCGAGGACAGATGCTTCAGGAGCCGGTAATTAATGACGGGATGGTGATGAGCTGTAAGAGGCTGCAGTGGCGGATCCAAGGCCAGGAGAGGGCTCTTCCCATCGGCTCCCGCTCCTCCCGCAGGGCGAGTTCACACGAGTTCGTTTCGCTGGGTGCGGTCCCGAACGAAAGGGCCGGACTTGTTCTGGTGACCCCCGGTCCCTCATCCCGGAGGGTTGCCCTGTGCGCGCACCCCAACCCGTGCCGGCTCCGAGCCCTGTGCAGGCAGCAGAGCGGGCAGGRGAGCAGCAGACGGGTCCCACCCATCGTAAGTACGGGAATCGCCACGACGCAGAGCCAGAGAGCCCGAGGAATCGGTCCGAGCAAAGAGGGGGGGATGCGGAAGGACCACACGGGGATGAGGCTGACGCTTCAATTCCGGACGGACGTTTGGGAACACTCAGCTGCATTTTTCAAGGGTGATGGGCTAGGGAGGTTCCCTTCGGTTTGGACAACCAGTACCTCTGGGTGCTGTAGAGGGGATATGGTCCCCATGCAGGTCCTTTCCCCTGCCCGCAATATCCGGTGGGAGATCGTGCTGGTTGGCTGATGCAAGGCTGGGAGGGGGTTTTGCTGCAGCAAACCTGGGCTGTGCAGAAGTTTTGGATGCTGCAGACCCCAGCTGGGCTGGGACCTCGGAGTTCCCTCCCTGCTTCAGGCACCATCTCTCCAGAGCGTCTCTGTCTGGAGCAGCTGGAACAGTTGGTCACCTTCCCATGTAGCTAATGTTTTGGCTGCAACATTGGGATCAGGGGCTGATGGAATGGAGGCGGGGGACCCTCAGCTGGAGTGGTTTGGAATAAGCCCACAGGGTTCCTGTCCCTGGCTCATGTATGAGGAGTAAGGGATGTCCAAGGGCTCCCTTCCGTTGATGGGGAAGGGGATCCCACAGCAGGGGTAAAATAGTCCCTGTGCTGCCCTCCTCTTCCTGCCCGGCCTCCTCACTTGCATCCCATCAGCTTTTCCCTGATGTTTTGGCASTAAAATCAAAGCTGGGTTCGCAGGAGCCCTCTGAATCTGCTGGAGGCACAATGGAGGTGCCACAACCACAACTGCCTCCTTTGCCTCTCCTGTGGCCGCAGCAGGGACCTCGTTGGGATGGCAGGTCCCTGTAGTGGTGGTGGTGGGTGACTGGTGGGTGGTGATCTGGGCAAGGTCACTGGCGAGCAGGGAGCAGTGTGGGTGAGCAGTGCGGGCGATTGGTGTGAGGTGCTTGGTGTCGGTGCCTGATGGCAGTCCCTGGTGTCAGTRCCCAGTGCCAGCGCTCTGTGTGAGGTCACCCGATGCGAGGTGCCCGGTGGCTGTGCCTTGTGCTCATGTGAAGTGCGCGGTGTGAGGTGACCCCGATGGGGCTTTCCCGATGCCCGGTGTGAGGTGGCCCATGGGGTGCCCGGTGCCGGTTCCCGGACCCCCGCGGGCGGCGCCGCTCCCGCACCAGCCCCGGTGCGCACCCCCGGGGACGCCGGGCGGGTCCGAGGTGCGCGGGCGGGACCGCGGGCGGGGCCTCCCGGTGGCGGGCG